TCAATACAGTAAGTGAGATTCAACTTTCAGCAAAAGACACACCTCGAGAAGAAGGAGGAGATGGGGAGCTGAGAAAGTTGTCATCTTCAGGGACAGATTCAACAGCTGACAATGATTTGTAGTACTCATCCTCTCCATCCAGCACTTTGATTTGGCTTGAAAGAAAACAAACAACATTTATTAAGTTAAAATTTAATTCTGTCAAACTTCTCTGTGAATGTAAAAATGAAGAGTGTTAGTACAAGAAAGAGGAAAAAAGATGGGATGATTTGATGAGAAAGATACAGTTTTTATGCATACTAATTGCTATTTTTTTAATGATTATACTCTGGTTCTGAGGATCAGTGAAATGCAATAGTCTTTCAGTCTGGGTATACAGAATAATAGACAAACTATTTGCATCCAATGGACATTTAATTTGAGGAATGTGGCTATTTTGTCTGTGTATGTTCCACAAGTAGGATATGATCTTGGTATCGTATTTCAGATGGTGGTTTGCTGTGAATATGAGCCAAAGACTACATCATCAATTTTGAGGGAAAGCCCTATTGACAGTAAGAGGGGCTTTCATTTTCCTGTGATGTATGAGGAGCATTGCAGTCCCATGTTAGTGTTTCCGTTCCCAGAATATGGACTTTTTTTAACTAGGGAAGGGAGCTAAAATAAAACAAATCTTACACAGTTGTGCAAAATTTTAGGCTTTAACCTTGACTCAAAGACCATTATATTCAGAAGATTAATAAAAACCAAAGGAAGTAATACAGAAAGTTCTTGCATATTTTTGAAGTAAATGCATTCGCAAGACCAAAGGTCCATCAGTTCTCTCTGGTCTGTGTGATCAGGCAATGAAATACTTTGGCAATTGTACAGGAGTCAGCCTAGCTTTTTCTACCTATACCAGGTGATAACTTCTGTAACAACGGGAACTGACTCAGTCCAACAGAGGAGGAGCAACTCCCTTTAGGGCTGAGTGGCCTCTGTCAGTTCTTCAAATGTGCTCCCTCAGGAGGGCAGAGACCCATTGCTGCTGCGAGGCTGGCAGGGCTTCTGGCCATGTTCTAGGCCACAGAACTTCAGTTTCAACACCCTTCATCTGGCACCTTTCACCAGTGCTAAATACACTTAAAAAGATAAGAAAGCTATTTTTTTGGTAGTAAAAGTACTCAGAGAGAGCTGGGGAGCATATGTTGTAAGACTCAGTTCTAGTGTCTGCAGACAGTAGTACATGCAAGTTTTACATTCGCTTCTGTAGAAAATGTCCAATGTCAATGCACAGAAATATGTTAATTGTTTATTTTTAGAAACCTCTCTAGAAAGTTTTGCATATTCTGTAATATCACAAAGGACTTCTTCTGTTTACAGTTGCTTAGAACTAAGAAGATAGATATTTACCCAAGTTTTCTTGGCTTCCTCTTGCTCCCTTGATATTCTAGAGTTCCCTGTGGAGAGGGCCAAGAACACACAGTCAAAGCAAAGCAGCAAGTCGTTAATTTTTAATTCAAAGTGATTTTGTGTTGAATGCAAGCAGATGCTGATAATATCAGAAGTCACAGCATAATTTTTTTGATCAAAGGGCTCAAGTGAGCCTGATGAAGCATGCATCTTGCTCGTCTTTGATAAACCACATCAATTATTCACCGTGAAGGCAGACATCCTGACATGAAAGCAACAGATAAAGAGCATAAGCACATGTTCAAGACGAGAGCAGAAGAACGTGGGGGTGGGGCTGGAGGGGCTGAAACAGGTATTAATAACAGAATTATTAACTGGAAACAAAGCCAGTAAAACAGCTTTATTGCCACTTTGAACTCACATTTAACTGGTTATAGTACATGTTGTCCTCAGGGCTATTCAGCATTTTGGGCTGCTGACATCGTCGACGAGGTGTTCTCAGCTTCTGTTCAAGACAGTTTTCTGAACCTAAAGTAAGATAACACAATTTAGTTTTAAGCTGTGCCAGGTGCTGTGAACGTCTTAGCACATTTTAGACTGTAAACAGTCTTTTCTTCTGTCCTATTTGGTCCCGGATTTATTAACAAGTTTGTTCTATCCAAAGTAAGCAAACAGAAACTTGGGGATCTTTGTTTTCCCTTTTGAAACTTAGTTCAAACACTAGTTTTTAAGCAGAACTTAATTTTTACTTTTTAACATTTTTTTATTCTCCCATATATCTATATCATGCAACTCCTTATTCCTTTCACACTTTATCATAGTATCTTCTGTTATCTAGGCAGGAAATGAGGTATATTGTGACTAGCTAGGGATATATCATTCAGCAGCAACAAAATCGTTTTTCTACAGTAGACAGTAATAAAGCCTTTTGACTGATGAGTCTTAGTCTATTATCATCACTTTTATTGTACAGAAAGGCTACCTTCTTGACATGGCTCTCTGTTTAATCAGAGTAACCAGACCAGCTTGGAATTATGCTTTCTTAATATAATTTGTGATGTGCTGTAAAGTAACAGTTGCTTGAAGTCATCTGGAGAGCAGAGTTTAAAGATGAAGGAACTATTTCAGAAGGGGGGGATTTGGAAAAGAACTAATGGCCTTCATTTTTTTCTTTGTATTAAGGAAAGGAGACATGATGCTGCTGTACTCTATTTTACCAAGCACTCTCTGTGGCACGTCCTCTAGATTACCAAGACAACTATTTTCAGGAAAACTAAGTTGCTAAAAGATACTGTGGGAGTAAGGAAAGCTCATTTACTTTTCAAATAATTCTCCCAATGCGTTTGACTTTTCCAATATCTGTTTTCTGATACCCTGTTAAAAGTTATTTTAGTGACAGTATGAATGAAAACAGTTTTTGGTGGCACTGAAGGAAAAATACACATCTTATTACATTTGCATTCCATACTGCATGGGGAACTTGCTCTGATACAAAAGACCAGCACAAAGATCAAGTGGCACATGAGTTCCTTTAAGCACTTCCGAACTGAAGCTAACATGACTGGTGCAGATGCAGGGCTCTAATCTCACAAATCCATTTGTAAGATCTGGCCTTAAGGAGCAGGTAACATTACAAAGGAGGTTTATTATACACCCAGCTTTACAGTTTGTATCTGCAATCTGAATGAGGCAGAGGATATGCCTGAACTTCGGCTTTTTCAACGAGAAGACTGACTGTTCTGAGAGATTTTCTCTCTTCCACTGTCCTCCCTCTCAACAGTAATATTTGAAATACATTAGTTTCCTCTCAGTGTGTGACTCCAATGCCTGTGTGGGAGGGGAGCACTTGTTTCATTCCATCACAAGGCCTGGGGGGGATGGTGGGCTAAATGACCACCAGGGAACTGACTGCAGTGCGGGGTCTAAAATTCAAACCCAGTTTTATAGAGAAAGGTTATATTTATCCAGTAATACAAAATAAATTTAAAATAATATACTCCTGCTGCCTGCTAATTTAATACCCAATGCTTCAATACTTTATATTTTCAAGTTCAGCAAACCTTCACATTTTTGCTAAAGAGACTGTGATGGCTGAATCCAAACCTTTGCTACTTACCTGTATTGCATACAACCAGACAAGGCAAAAGCTGTACCAGAAAATACTTCTGGGTGTCCAAGTAATGTCTGTCTCTTTGGAAAAATTTTTATGCCAGATTTAGATAGGAATTTTGTTCTCTCTGAAAGTTTTACGGAAGACTTGCCATAACTACATTCTACTCTCTCCCTGCTCTGAAAGTTACTCAAATTGATCTTGGAGCTTTCTATCTCAGGACAGCAGGGTCTGCAGTTTTTGCAAGCAAGCCTTTCAGTCTCCAGGCCGTTTAAGTTCCTTTTCACAGCATCATAGTTCTTGAATTCCACTCCACGAATAATGTTTTTATTCTAGCAAGAGGCTGGTGTGAACCCAGGTCCCCACAGTTTTGCATAATTTCACACACCTCTCTGCAGCTTACCAGAAGTAAAAACAGCACATAAGTATCTAGAACTGTTTAAGCAGTACAATAATATGATAGGGTGTCTTTTTTCCTTCCCCCGGAGTAATCCTGTGGCCTTTGTGCTATTTTATTCAAAACACTTACATGTACAGGGTTTTTGTTTTTATTTTTTTGATGTCTTTCTTTCATGAGGATTCTGAGACACTAATATTTTGTTCTACCTTTTTATCCTGACACTTAATTATTTCTGTGTATTCTATGGGTGGTCTACAGCTTGTGTTCTCCAAAGGAAATACCCTTTCAGTGGGCCCATTTGTCTTAGTAGCATACTACATGAACTGTACAAAATGTGGTAACATTTATCATAAACTACCATATCTGGAGAAAATGGTAACATGTGCTCAACACTCAGCAGTTGAATAGGCATTTTAAATGCTGTTCTAAAATATTTTCCTTTGATGACAAACTTAAAGCCACCAATAAGAAATAAGTCACTTGCCATTTTACTAGCAATAGCAGCAGCACCAGTACCATTAACAAGGTATTGTCTACACTGCACATAAATTGTGCTATGTGCCTCTGGCAAGTCAAGGCTCCTGAGTTTGCCACAAATTTAGAGATCAGATGAGAGAGTGAGCACAAGCACTTTCCTCAGGTTGTACTTCAGCACTATTTTATAAAAAGAGATCGGACCCCTATTTTGTCTGGAAGAAAATAACTCTAAGTTGGAGAGTTACTCTAGTTGTAACTCTAAGTGCAGAAATTCCTCAGGTTACAATTTCTTCATTGGTGAATCCTTTACTGCAGTGCAGAAATAACACAGAGTAGGCAAAATGCTTTCTGCCAAGTGCACTGTGTCAGCTGATCTAAGTGTAGTAGGTAGCTGAGGTTCTGGGCATCCTCTTCCTGTTCTCACTCAGACACAGAGAGGCTGATACACACAGTGAGCAAGGCTCATGTGGATGCTTCCCTAGAGCTTCCTCAAAATTGATGTTGCTTACAGAGACAGGAATTAGAAACTGGCTAATGGGTAAGTCTGTTGGAGTAGGAAGTATTTATAACCAGACAAACTGATGGGGTTCCTTTTATTGGTTACCCTTTCTATTTCTCTGATACATAATAGCTCAAGCCAATAGACCAGGGCCTTGCAGTGCTCAGTCAGATTAAAAAGATATATGTTTTCAACCAAATGCAAAGTCAGAGATGCAAGATACATTTTTATGAACTGGGAATTGCATAGTTGGAAAGCAGTGTCTCCAGGAGAGACTTGGGAATTACGGATATTCAGCTGAATATGAAGTAGACTGGGTGCAGAGAAGAGGACTACTCAATAGAAATAGGGAACAGTTCTATCTTGTGTGCAGAATTATTTGAAAGTGGGTGCAAGAAAGTGCAGAATGTTTTGAGAACAAGAACGACTTGAAATCTGGAATATCTGCCATATGCTGAAAAATGTATGAAGACTGCTCTATTTTATTTTTTTTCAAAAGGAGGTTATGAGGTGACTTGAAGCAAGTCTAAACCCTGTCTAGAAGGTGGAGGGTTTTTCACCTTTGAAAACCAAATTCTAAACTCTCTCATGGTCAGAAGTGGAAGAAAATTTTTGACTGTAAATATAGCACATACTGAAAGCAATCAATTAGGAGAAAAAATACTTAGCAGTATGATGGAAGCTCAGGATGAGATTGGAAGCTTTTAGAAAAGGGACATTTTGACTCAAGCTAAAGTTAAAAACTATTGAAGATGTGGCACAGATCACTTCTACCTTAATAGGAATTAATTTCTCTAATGTGATTTTTATCACAGGTCTCAGCCTGCAGATTTTGTATTGATCTTTTGATTTCTGGGATATAGTTTCTGAATTTCCATGTGATTCTTCTTTGCTTTCTTATGGCTGAAATGGAAATATTTTTCTTCAATCGGCCATCATACTGACACTTTTAATAACATCCCTTGGCTTGGAGATGATTAGCACATTTCTTATGCCATATCTTATTTAGAAGATTTTTCTGTTTAAAAATCCATCCTTTCCATAAGCTGGAACGGACTCCTTCAGAAATGTACAAACTGCCAAACAGCAAGATTTAACAAAAGATTTCAAAGTGCTCTTTAGGACTGACATGAGGACTTCAGCATCTAGGATTTGGGCCCTGACCAATACTTTCAAAACAGTAGCTGCAAAAATGTATTTTTCTAATGACTTCCCATGAGGCAGATGACTTCACTTGAGATTCAGTGAAGATCTCATTGTAGATGTCCTGACTGTCCTGCTTATTATTGCCAGTGGAACTAAGAATCATCAGACTTTGCTCTCTGAAATGAAGCTTGGGTCTTCATAAACTGTTCATGACTAAACCCTTGCTTCAAAAACTCCTTAATGCTGATAACCTTGCCAAACATTGCTAATTTTTCCTGTATGGAGAATTCTGCAGAGAAAATGGTGATGAGGCAGCTACAACTGCATTTGGAACTTGTAAAATCCACTGATGCAAGTCGGATTGTTTTAAGGTTGGTGCAGCACACCAGGGGAGCTAAACTCTGCATGACATCCTACTTTTTGCAAGGAGTGCACAGGAGGGTTCTTTGTCAGTGTGTCAGTGCCCCAAAAAGGCTGCGTTCCCAATTCCTGTGCTGAAGGGACTGTAGCCCCCGCAACACGTATTGAAGGGTGGAGCTGAGTTCATTTTCCTTCTAAAGCCATTTACCCAAAGCAGGTTTGGAACGGGTTAGTCTTGTCTCTTTTACTGTTATAGGTGAACACAAACCTAGTATCACAGGAAGGGTAGTCCTTTTCTAATTACGCTGGATTTAGGGTCTGAGTAGGGACAGTCTGCTAAAGCAAAGGTAATGGGGCCATTTAAGAGACCATATATCTTAACAGAGTAAGCAAATAAAGTAGACAAATCAGTATGACCAAGAAAAATAGTAAGCATGTAGCTGATTTCCAATCTATAATATCAGATGAAACATGAAAGTGCAACCCTTAATTATAAGCAAATATTAGCACAGACTCATGGGATCTCATCATAACAT